ATTGTATTCTATGATGAAGCTTGACTGCATGCATTGCTTCAATTCTCCTCTATAGAGAGCCCTGAATGGACCATCACAGAGCAGGACAAGCCGCCTGCGTGACGTTGTGGGAGGTGGAAAAGTGAAGGGCCCCAAAAGAGCCTCAGTGCTGGAATAAAGTTAAGTACATCACTATAGTGTTCCTTTAATACCTAACAATATTGTGAGTTTCACAGTACATAATGAGTCACAAAGAAGTTTGTAAATATTCCAACGCCTATTAGCCTCAGCCAACTCATGGTGTAAGACAAAAGAGTTCTCGTTCCTGGTATAAGCAAACGCATACTGTAAACCTGTATGAGCCTGGGGCTCAGGGGCTTGGTAGTGACTATGTTAAGTGGTTTTCTAAATGAAGTCCCTGTTACATTAAGTGATTGATTGGAAGATGGATTACAAGCTACATTTACTTATCTCCAACACTACCAAAGAACAGGTTCAGTCTATGTGTCAGCAGATGATATATGTAGCTTTTATAAGTAATAGAGGGTGCAAAGGGCAGGCATCGTTTCTAAAAATAAAGTAATTGTATAAGTAAGGATAGTGGAACCCTTGTTTTGTTAAAAATAATTGAAGCATCAACATCTTCAAGATGGCCTTTAAGCAAAACAGCCTGAAAAGAAGCCTAGCTTTGCACATACAAGTGGTCTGCACCACACATAGGGTTACCACCTGTCATAAAAACAATAAATCACATAAAATATACCAGTGTATACACCTGCCCAGTGTAACTCTAATAGTGTAGCCATGCACTGAATTGCTATAATATTTGTGAAGCGCCTACACACTATTTTTCTTTTACTGTATTAAAAACAATACCATCTGTAGCGGAGCTGCAATATTAAATCCCAAGATCTCCACTGGTATAGAAAGTAATCCAAAGTAAAGCACTGGAAAAGAAGGCAATATCCCAAATCCCCCAGTAACCGGACGAAACACAGTTCTGGGAGTCAACTAACAATTTTATTCACAGCTCCAGTATTTGTGATTCCCCATGCAAGGGGTTTCCTTAGTCACTTTACAGGGGTATTACAGTAGAGGATTACATGGGGAACTGAATATACAGAGCCTCTCTCCCACCACGCACTGCTGTATATGAGGGATACTCCCACTAGAAGTGGATTATCCCTCCGTACAGCAGAACCGGGTTTTAACACAAAATTCAATAACTTTAATATTATTTATGTGATTCCCTTAAATAACCGTTCGGTAGATAGCTGGGGTCTGAGCACACACTTCGTGAAAGTACCGCTCCGATCCCAGCATAAATAACTGAACGCCGCATGAAACATACTTTTAGATCACATTCTCCTAAAAGTACCGAATACCTATTGGGTACCAAACTACCGAAAGACCGGGGTTCCCGAACTGCCTGGAAGTCCACTGGTGTTCGCGCTGTCGAGTAGCCGATTTTAGTTCCAGGCTCTCGATGACCAAACACCGCTGGGCTAACAAAGGAGCCAAGATGGCTGACCGCCGCGTGGTCGATAGCCGAACGACGGCCACCCTGGAAAGCATTTAACTACCGATTGCTACAATGTTGCAAGCGGTTAATGGGAGCCACACGACCCTCTGTGTGTGGGCTCCCATTCGGTACTTTATTCGTTTCACGAACAGTGTCTAAAGTCACTGTTCGTGAAACTACCAAATGAATGCTAGCGGCTTTTGGCCGTTAGCATACGAATACTCTTTATTGCAAACACACTGGAATACATCCATATATACAATAAAAGCAGACAACCTTCTGATGTTATACAGTAACTCTTAAAGTGGCTAGGTTTGCCACACTATCGAACTACAGTCCAGAGGCAGGAGATGGTGTCAGATACCAACACCTGACAATCCTATCTCAGTGATTTATTGTCCCTTCTCCCCAGGTGATTTCATATCCCTCCATGTTATTCACTCTCTCTTTTTACTTATTTTATTACCCTGGTGCAGTAGTGTGTGAAACATTGATCCATGCTTCTGTCACCACAGGCTACTGTCACAGCTCCATTGAGGTGTGTTGTTCAAATTGATGGAGGAATTGGGTATTTGACATCACGTTCTCCCAGTCTGCATCAGTTGGTGCTTTGTATAGTGTGCACAGCCATGGATAAATGACAGCAGACAAGCAGGAGATCCATGCTTCTCCTACCTCGGGAATGCTACATTACCGTGACAATTCACCACTGCAATATGGCAGTCATCAACCTCTTTCAGCTCCTGATTGCTGAATCACAAAATGCAGAAACTAAGTCAAAACTAACTTGACTGCTGACCCATACCAGTCCCCCCAAAACCGTTGCCCCCAATAACACACATGACACATTATTCTGATGGAGAATTTAACAGCTTTATTTAACATTTAAACCAGTTTTTAAACTCTGTCCAACTCTGTCAGCTGTTGGGGGTTGCCCAACAGACAGTTCTCCCAAATTGTGTACCAGGTGTCTCAACAGCCGGCTACTCGCCATCAGCTCCGTGCAGGCTGTTGTCTCCCCAAAGTTCCTTTTCCACCTGCGCTGTCCAGGGAAAACCTGCCACCGCGATGCCCACTTCGCGCACCATGCTGCGCGGGCATCGCGCCCGCCCACCGACAGCATGGCCTCAATCCCTGCTTGCAAACCCACTTTCAAAATGTCTAAACCAATAGTGGACAAATGAACCCCATCTCGTCTCATCATGTTGTCATTCACCCCTTCCAGCTCCAAGCGCCTAACCACTATGCCACCCAGGTGGCGTACAAACTGGGAAACCGTCATGTTGACTTTATGCCTATAGTGCTCCAACCAGTGGAGTACATACCGTGGTCGCAGCTGCGACCGGGCCAGGCACTCCAGGGGGCCCGGCTGCCCTGCGGACCCCTGCGACCGAGTACCAGGCCTGCTGCCACATTTTGTGGCCCCGGCCTGCACGGCAAACCACCGGGGCCGCATATGGAGGGGTCCATCGGATGGCCCATGCTGTCAGGACCACCCGATTGATATGGATTGTGAGGGGGCCCGGTCAGCACTGGGCACTTTAAGAGCGCGACCGGGCCCCCTGTGATTACATCAGAGCTGGGAGGAAGTGATTCTCCGGTCACTCACTCCTCCTAGCTATCAGCCCATGTGGGAGGAAGGAGGAGGAGGGAGTCAGAGTGGGAACTCTGCTTCTGTCAATTATAACAGATAACCATGACTTCGCTGCGCCGCTGACCTACAACAAGTGGGGGCGCACATAGAGCTGAAAGCGACCCGACTGCCAGCTCCACAAACGCTTGAGCGCCTCCGCAGGGAGGCCCAGCAGACTCGCCTGCATAGCAGCCCTATTCTGAATGAGTGAGTAGTATAACAACCCGGAGACAGACCAACACCAATAACGCAAGCCCGAAGTACTCTAGCAAATTGAAAGCGACTGAGGGACAACCCATCCCGATGCCGCAACAAGGAACCAACCTCGGACCCCCAGGAACTCCCGCAGTAACCTAACCAGACAGAACGGACCACCTGTCGCACTTACCCGAACCTGAGCACCCGCTCCCTCCTGATCAGTCTTGGACCTGTGAATGAGCAACCTCATATCGCCCTGACATCCGACAGTTGCATGGCAGCCGTAGCCCGCGTACTGGGAGCCGCTAGCTCCCCTTCCTGGAGAGCAGCAAAGAAACAGAGGGCGAACGCGGCCAGAAACATACAAACCTTGTAGTCTGAGAAACAAACCTGGAGCAAACATTCCAAGAGTTTGCACAAGATCTCATAGGTGATAGGACGCCGAGCGTCTGGCCTACGACCTTTCTTCCAGCCCTTCATAACCCATGACATGCAAAACGCCTTGGTAACGTCCTGCCACCCACACCACTGAAAAAGAAACTCAAAACCGGTCCCACTGAAACCGAGAGAGTCGGCTATAACGTTTAGCTCCCCAGGCACATGAAGTGCAACCAGCCACAAATTTATGCGATAAGCTAAGCAAGACCAGGCGCCTGAGGAGCACCAACACCAGAGGGGATGCAGACACACTCATGTTGTCCGTGCGCACAACCACCTTCCGATTCGCCAACTCTACACCCCAAAGCTCCACTGCCACTACTATGGAGAAGAGCTCCAGGAACCTTAAATTGCCCACCAACTCAGGCTCTTGCCATTGGCGGGGCCATGCCTCCGCGCACCAGCACCCCTGATAGTAGGCACTGAAGCCCACTGACCCGGATGCATCGGTGTACAACTCCAAATCCCCATTGGACACTGCTGGGCGCAGTCAGTAGGATTGCACGTTATACTGACTCAAAAAGGAACTCCACACCTGTAGATCCTCCCAATGCCATCGATTTTAATCTGAATAAAGTGAAAAGGCTGCTTAACTCCTAAGAGCACCAAGCAGTCATCCGACTCCCGGGGGCCCACAAACAAAAAATCATCCAGGTAGTGCGTGAGAGACGACAGACCCAAAACCCGAGAGACTACCCATTCAAGAAACGACGCAAACATTTCAAAATAAGAACAAGAAATAGCGCAACCCATCAGCAAACACATAACAAAGAAAAAGGAACCCTGAAACCGGCAACCCAACAAGTGAAAACAGTCCGGGTGGACCGGGAGCAGCCGAAAGGCGGACTCAATGTCCGACTTGGCCAACTTAGCTCCCAACCCCGCCTCCCGAATCAACTCTAATGCCCGATCAAAGGAGGCATATCGGACATGCGACACATCCTTATCAATATCATCATTCACCGACCCGCCCGACGGGTAGGACAGGTGGTGAATGAGACGAAAAGACCCTTCTTTGGAACCAACCCCAGTGGGGATACCCCTCCCCCCCCCCCGCAGCACGCACCCCCAGCTGACCTCTATCCTGGTCATGGGATTGGGCAGGGAGAGCGCAAGGGACTGGGGACAAGCAGGGACCCCCCCCCCCCGGTAGCCTATCTAGTACTGCCCTAAGCAACCCCAGCACCTCTTGTCACAGGAACCCACTACCCATACTTCCTCTATCCCCAGCTAGCGCATCTCAAGTGCTGGCGCAATGCTCACTGCCTGAGGATGCTGGGCTTCTTCCTCCTCCGAACCGGAACAGGACCCTGGAGAGGTAAGGGGGGACGCGCGGCTGGCCTCCTGGCCCGACCGCAATCCTCTGCTGGACGTCCTTCTTCCAACCGCCAGCTCAATCACCGGTGAAACCACAGTGGAAGGCAAGGCCTGTGACGTCCATGCTGTCCTGTGCGATGACTTCACGTACTCGCCTTGCGGGATGACGTTGTCCTCCGACGTGCGCACGCTGAGTGGTGTGCGTGATGACGACACATCCGTTGGATGGGAAGAGAACAGCCCGGCTGCTCGATCTCCTGTCCATACCTCCACCATTGCTACCGCCGCCATCTTAGGCCCAGACACCGCTGACCACAGCAGCCCGATTCCGCCGACTCTCAGGTAACGATGGCTGTTCTGGGTGCACAGCCGAGCCGCCACCTCGCCCCACTCACGGTCCGGAACCGGGCTTGGAGAAAGGCCTCGATCTCCTGGCCCTCCGCCCGCTTGGGACTGCAGTCTGGCCGGACATCCCTCCCTCAGCCAGGGCAGCGCTCCTCATGCCTGACACCAGATCATCCAGGGCACCCTGGCCGTGGGCCTCCAAGTAAGATTGCAGCATCCTCTGCAAGTCAGCTACAGGGGCAGCCATGACAGTAGCAGGAATATGAGCAGGATCAGGGAATGGGTCACTGTGAAGCTGGTAATTGTAAGATGGTAATGTTGTTTGTATTAAAGGGTACATTACAGGGTACAGTCAGCCAGGAAAACAGTCAGGAGCCCTCAACTGATCCTGCCGTCTGGTAAGTCCCCTCCCTCTCCCTTTCCTTAAGAACCTCAACTTTGTTACAAACACAACTGCCCAAATACAAAATAAATCATTGTTTAATAGATATGCCCCCATTGAAAACATGTATGCATTTAACCATGCATTTTTTTTTTTTTAATTGGCGGTATATCTAAAAACAATTTGCAAAAACTGCAGATCTCTTGTCTACCACATTTGCCAGCGCTCCCCTTCTAACCATGCCCATACTTTCTGTGGCTGTCCAATCACTGACTTCCCAATCCAGCTCAATGAGAATTCTTTGCAAAGCAGGTGATCTTAGCAATTGTCTCCCTCTTGAATTTAGCTCCACTAAGCTAACCCAACCAGGAAGTAACAGGATCAGTTGTTTGACAAATCAGTGCTGCACATGCTGCATGGTTCTCCATGTATTGCTCAGTTAGAACTTTGCAACCAGGTCTGCTTTCCTCAACAATAGTATAGCAGTCTAGAACCTTTATCCCTCCCATACTGCACTGTAAAATTTTGTCATCCTTGTACTCCCCAATCCCCATCCTTTATAAAATAGTCCTGTCCCAGAAAACCAATGTCAGTGTAATATGCCTGAATAGTGTGTGTGTATAGTGGTTTATTCAGAATAATCTCACTCTGTATTTATTTTAATGATCTCTACAAAATCTTCCACTTGTCTTCAGTGACCGCAGTGTTAGCGATGATCATTTAGAAAGAGTCTGACAGCTCTTTCATCTTCACGCAGAGAATAAAGTACTTTTTCTAGTGCTGCAAGAATTGAACAATTTAGACACCAATTAGAGAGCGACCATTACATAATTAGATACATTTTTTGCAATTAACGCAGAACTTGTCAGGGTCGCTAAGCTGCAAGTGAAGATTCATAAAATAAAGGAACTGACCTCATATTCTCATTTAACCCTATCACTGCTGCAAAGGTGACTAAGGAGGGGCGTAATTTTTTTATAAAAACTTCATTTTTGCCAGTTGCCTTTTTTTTTTTTTTTTTAACTTGCATAGTGAAAATGTGTAAAACAATAAAAAAACAAGAACATCTTTCTACGTTTCTTTTTAAAGCGACACTACAGTCACCCAGACCACCTCATCTCAATGAAGTAGTCTGGTTGCAGGATCCCTGTCCTTTATAACCCTGCAATGTAAACCAGCCAGTAAAGGTGATTTAGCAGCACTGACCAAGTAAAACATGAATGCAGTGCTTGAATGTGCTAGCGGCCCACTATGTGAGGAGCATTGGATTGGACATCAGCAGAGGAAGTCGTGCATCCCCTGTGACGTTGCGAGAGACCGAGAGGTAGCAGCGCAGAGGGAGCTTCGACCCTAAAAAAAGGTAAGTTTATCTTGCACCTTTAGGGTACCTAAAAATAAGAGTAAGGATAGGAAAACTACAGATTTGGATTCCAAATGCTATAGTGTTCATTTAATAGATTGTAATTGTAAAACGTGACAAACCTTGTTTTTTCTTTTTTCATTTTTTTTTTTCATTTCTGTTTTTTATTTTATGTGAGGATTTGCTCAAAATTGGGACATTTCATACCCTAAAAATATGTTGTTGTTTTTTTTGCATTTGAAACTAGTTGCTGGAGGAAATGTAATCACAAATATGTAGAGGTAATTCTTACACTGCAAATGCAGAAGTAAACCATAAAGGCGAGAGATTTCCTTTGGGTACCACTACATTGTTTATTCTCTGGCACTTAAATAGTGTCATAGTACAGAGAGCAATGTATGGAGGACAAGAAGGGAGGGTAATCAAGTCACCAAGAGATCAGATGACTTGAAATTTGTGATGTTAAGTGTGGTGATTAAGACAAGAGATTCACTCCATCACACACTCTCATCAGCACTGCTTCTATTTCTAGTTCCTCTATTTAGTTATTGGTGTAGAAAGGACATAGATGAGATTAATTGAGAAGTGTCTATAACATAACAGTGCAACAAACTTCTAAAAGTGGGGAAATCATCCCCATGGCTACTAATAGAATGTAAAAGAAATAAAGGTATCAGTCACTGTAGACACAATTCTTGACTGTGAACTTGTTAAAAATGATCCAGTCTATATTGAAAAATAATTAAAACTGTCTTACTTTACAAAAAGCAGTAACATAAATGCTCCCTCGGTGTTCATGCCGAATGAAAAACACGAGTCTATGTTTCGTGCTTCTACGGCACTTTTTCAAGACCCCACCTAAAAGAATCTTAATTTTTACTCCAGTGGTTTCTATGGAGATTGCTTCAGTTCTAATACCTTGCCCCACTTTTGTGTTAGCAATGTTTTAATATAATTCTCCTGTGTGTCTCCTGCTGTGTAGATTTGTTTGTATTCATTTATAAAGAATTTTGCCACATCTTTACATTATTTGCATTTCCAACTCTGAATCCCACAGGAGATTATCACAGTAACTGTTTTACCCAAGGATGCACAAGCCACATTATATACTTGCATATATTTCCATGCATTTACGCAACTAATCCCACATGTCATATTTAAAGGGGAACTGTAACTTCTCTGTATTTTTCATTTACATTTCTTTTATATTTTCTTCTTTAAAAAAAAAAAAAAAAAGAAAAAATGTATTTGCAAAGTCTGAAAAAATAAAATTGGACATTGAAATGATCTGTTTAGCTCTATCCTAGAACCGATCGCCTCCATCTTGGCTTCCTGCCAATTATTGTTATACATTTTGCCCTCTGCCCCTGACAGTCAGCATAGAAAGAGCAAACTTAAAGGAAGAGAAATAGAAACAATGTTTCTTCTCCCCCAATGCAATATGTGCCTTGACTGGACCAGATTGTGATGTCAATTGATAAACCTTTAATACACATTTTTCAAAAATTTTTTTATTGAAAATGTTTATATTTTACAACAATATATTCAGTAGTATAAAGTAAATACATAATGCATATCCGTTTACATAAACACATATTTTAAGTATACAATAATAATAATACAATTACATCATTACATTATTATTTTACTTGTATATGACAAACTTTATTTGGGGGATAAAGAAAAATTTAAAATGAGACAATATTAGAGGGGGGAAAAAGAAAACAAATTGTGAAAGAGAGAGAGGTTGGGGAGGGGAGTTGTATTAAAATCTTTATAGTTACGTAGTGATGTGAGAATATTTATAGTATCGTGAATGAGGATATACATTCCTACACATAGATACTTTACATAATTTTAAATAATGGAGCATCACAAATTAAAAAAAAAAAGCTCAACACAAGTTATAGATGATTTCCAATGTTTTATTTGTATTTTACAAAGGTGTAATGACTGGAGAAATTACAATTCTAGGTCAATAAAAATGTTAATTCATCAATGGATGTTAGTTTATCCTGTTATGCAGATTACAGCTTTGATCTAGTGTACACCACGGGTTAATTTCCCTTTACCTGTCCTGTATGACTCCATGGGAAATGTTTAAAGCTAACTGCTACTGACAGCCGAGAGCTGCTGCACCTCGCACTCAATCTTGAAGCAGATATTCACATAGATCTGTCTGTGACAGCTTTTCTAACGTTATTCATGACCTGGTTTCAGTGCAGGCACTAGACATTAAAAGGCCCCTTTGCTTTGTTTCTTTATCTATCTAGACATGTAACAGGCGTTTGCAGAACACAATTGCAGTAAATACCTGATTGCCAAACAAATTAGGTTGAGTATAAATCTAAAATGATATAAGACCCTTATCTGGTGTTTCCAAGAATGATTTAGTGGAAAATCAAACACGTGTACCAAAATCTCAATGTTTCAGCGACCTTGGCTATAAAAAGCATTGATTTTTTTTCAGTAGATTTATATGCTTGTCTATACATACACAATCACACACACAAACATTTATATACAAGTCAATAGAGGCAGAATGTATATGGGATGTGTTGTGTGCAACATTATTTGGACCTGACTGTCTATGTGGGTGTCATTGATTCCCAGAGCCTTTGCGTGCACTGTGGAACACGACTTCAGTTTTATTGTATTTTCTTAAATGGAAGGAATACAAAACACTACATTTGATTATTACTTAAAGGAACACTCCAAGTACCATAAGCACTACACACCATTGTAGGTATGATGCGCAGGGTAAACTGGCACTCACTTCTTTTCGAATGGTTTGACAACTTACATGAAGTCCGCTGGGTGCCTCCTCTGCCCACACAGGTTCTGAACAGAGCTACATCTAGCAATGCAGCGAGAGCTGTTTATTGGCTGCGAGCACTGAGTGACACTTTCAGTGAATGAGCTGGAACTGACTGGATATGCAATCTGAAGCAGCAGACAGTGAAACATTGTTTGTGTCATTACATTCTATAGAAGACTTGGTTATAAAGGCTAAATTGATTATTTTGGATAAATTACACTTTTTAGACCGTTTTTATACCAATCACATTATGGTTTTGATTTAATAAGCTTTCCAAATCATTCAATACTGTTTGAAACAATTTCCAAATGATTCATCTACAGTAGTCACAATTAAAGCCTATGGGAATTTTTGTAGATAAATCATTAGGAAAGTTTATTACATCATCATGGCCAATAACTGTTATGAATGCCTGTTTGCTTTTAAACTTAGATCTAACACCCCATCTCATGTCAAATTACCAACTCATAACCATGTGAGTG